TTCGTTACTAGTTTCAAAAATGTGTTTCTGATGTGGGTTAGTGAGACAACAGATCCTTATACCAGCTCATATCTCTAGGTCTTCAATACATTGAGGTTCCACTTAGACTCACCATGATCTACGAGAATTTTTTTAGTGGAGAGGCATGAAAAGGGAGATGTTCTGGCTAAGTATTCTGACTGCCAACAGATTAAGGTAGAACATCATAAACCAAGAGGTATGAATTAAGAGATTAACATCCTTACATGGAAGTTGGAAGTGATGAACATGGACTTAATTATTAGTTTACATTATACTCGCAGACAACATGACTCAATTTGGGTAATTATATAACGTCAGTAAGTCCGCTCACTTCTTTGTTGTTGAGACTATAGATTTAGCGAAGGACTACACCAAATTTAATATCAACATGACTCAATTTGGGTGATAGTAAAAATTGTCACTAAGTCCGCTCACTTCTTTGTTGTCGAGACTATAGATTTAGCGAAGGACTACGCTAAATTTAAGATCAATATTAAGGTTTCATGGGTTTCCCTTGGCTATAATCTTATATAGAAACCCTCTGTTTACGTCTTATTTCTAGAAATTGTTTCATGAAGGTCTTGGTACTCATGTAAATCTCAGTATAAAATTTTTAGGAAGAACATATCAGTAAGACATTAGGGTTTGCCTATAATAATAATTTTGAGTGCAATACTCAAATGGCCCCGTATGAGGCACAATATGGGCTGAGATATATATCTCCTATTGGTTGGTTTAATGTAGGTAAAGCAGCCTGATTGGGGGCAGATTCTGTTTATGAGGAGGATATGGAGAAAGTTTAGCTCATCAGAGATAGACTAAAGACAAACCATAATAATCAAAGACCTATGAAGATGTGATGAGAAGGGACTTAGAGTTTGAAATCAATGATTGGGTTTTCCTAAATGCATCACCTTTGAAGGGGGTGATGATATTTGGCAAGAAATTAACGCTTAGTCCTAGATATGAAGGTTTTATAGAATTGTAAAAAGGGTTAGTGATGTGGCATATGAGTTATATTTGCCAGCAGAACCAACAATTATTCATTCAGTCTTTCACATTTTCTTGTTGATGAAGTGTGTGGGTGATCCGACATTAATATTACCATTAGAGAGTGTCACTATGAAGGATAATCTCACTAATTAAGAGGCTCAAGTTGAGATCCTTGATTCTCCAGTTCATAGGCTGAGAAATAAAGAAGTAGCTTTAGTGAAAGTTTGTCGAAGGGTTAGTGTATAGTGGGAGGAACCTCGGAAGAAGGAAAATCCATGAAGCCCAAGTATCCTTACCTTTTCCTTCGTATTCATTTTCATCTTGAGGTACTAGTTTCTCTCCAGTCTCTCAGTTCACTCTTGCATAAATTTTGCCTCAGTTTCTTGCTCCTTCAATTATTCTTGCATTTATCATGTTTACATGAATAGGGAACTCAAATCTGTTAGATATTAGTTCTTTGTATATAATGTTACGCATCATAACTCCTTCCATACATACACAACTAGTTTAGACCTTGTTTGAGGATGAATATTCCCAAGGTGGAGATAATGTAACACCTCATAATTTAAAATTAAGATTGGTGCCAGTACAAAATTGAAACACCCATCGATTGTAGGTAAGCTTCCATCACTAAGGTCCATATGGATTGTCTCTAATACTAGCCACGGTTGACCAGTGCACTTCGTGGTTTGACCAACAAACTGTAGTTGAGGATCAACAACCAATTAGAGGAAAATTATTGTTGGGTGAACTTCATACGTTCATATTTTATAGTAAAAATTAATTAGGTGTCTCATAAACCATAAAATGAAAGATAATCGATTCCTCTTTCCAACGCCACAGAGTTTGCTAAAAATCTATCCTGGAGTAAGAATTTATACTTATTTCTGTGAAAGCCTATCATGCACAGCTTGACTGACGACTTCTATTGATGGCTAGTACGGCAACTGTCGACCCTTAAGTCCTGTATAGGGGTACTAATTAGATTTAATTTATGGTCATTTAGGTTACTACCCTATACGTTAGGCACTTAATCTACGCTGTTTGATGACTAAACTACGTCGTTTTAATTGGTTTAAGCCTAACAAGTTAGTCAAACATACAAGAACCATCATACTCCAAAAATCATCCCATCTTTGAGAAAAGAGAAGATAAATAGTCGTCGAAACCTCCCCAGAAGAAGAAACAATGTTCTTCAAAGTTCAGTCCCAAAATTAAAAGGTTTATCTGTAGATTTCGTGAATAGGCATATGAGATTCAATAATTGGTTCCTTTCATCCACCAGATCCCCAGAATTAAGTCAAATCCTTTATTCTACATAGCTTTTTTAGACCTAGGGTTTGCAGAACAAAGGAAATTATTGTGATTTCAGTGGTTGTATGATCTGTATTCTAAAAATCATTTTTCCAAGAAACATTGCTTAATTATTTGTATGAAACTCACAATTCTAGTTGGTATAATACTATTAGTACATAAATTATACTTGCTAGGTCAGGTAATCAGATAATCATGCTTTAGATTTTGAATTTCATGTTATTAGTATATAAATATTGTATTTTTAATTTGCATGTCAGTAGTTTGAGGTATTCAGTATTTCGATTATATTTCTATCATAGACATATTCTGTTGGGAGTAGACGTAGCTAGGAGTTGACTAGGGTTAAGTGTACCCTCATAGTTTTTGAACTATGTGTCTCTGTAGGATTTTAAGTCCCCTTTATTAGGAATCAGAATTAGTGATCACACTAGCTATTTCTTTATATCCATGACAAGGTGTATTGGGTTCTCTCTATGGGGCATATACATCGGATTGCATGTCTACTCACACAAGTTTATATTGATTAATAGTAGCTCCCACAGTCACAGTCTTAGTGAATTTTAAAAGGTTTTCTATATATACTTCATAAATAAGTTTAAAATGCTAATTTTATGATTAATGAAACATATCTTAACTTGAAATAACTAATATTAAGATAATATATCAAGAATAATCATTTTTTTAAATAAATGGGAAATCTAGAAAATTACCTAAGTGTAAGAGTGATGTTTTTGGTCATTTTCAAATGGCCATAAATCCCAGATCACAATAAATTAGAGTGAGGTCTTAAACGGGTTGGGAAGCGCTTGAAGAGATTTTTCCAACTCCGTCGAGATTGCAAAATTTTGATATCGTATGAGGGAGATATGCGCATCGGATGTTATGTATGTTGATTGAGGAGAATCCAATTCGGATTTTAGCAACGGTAAAATAGTCTTTTAACCCTACTATTTCCTAATTTGGTTAAAAGGTTTATTAAATGAAAAATAAGACTTAAGTAAGTTTTTATAATATTGAATATGCTTAGGGCTTGGGATAAAAGAGAAGAAAAGAAGGAGAAAGGAGAAAAGACCAAGATTTCTCCTAGATCGTTAAGATAGTTTCGTCGAGGATGATACTTTTTAGGCATGTGAGATATTTTGGTGTTGAGTTCTTACAGTCACACCAAATTTAATTCAATTCTGATAGTTTAGTGGAGATTGATTTATGAACATGGAAGTTCTTGATGAACAATGGTTGAACCCTTGTTGGTTGAATTGTAGCATACCTTTCATTTTATGATTTATGCTTCCGGGCTATTTTACGTGTCTAATCTATTGGGTATTGAGTATATTAATGATTCTAAGTGTTTGGGGGAAGATTTATGGATGTTTGGGAGATGTAGAGTTAAAAATTATTGAAAAAAAATCGTAGAACCCGTCTAACAGGCACTGGGGTGCCGCGCATACAAGAGCCCCTTGTGAAAGACTGTCTGTCAGGCTCTAGCACGCCACGCCAGCAATAGCACCTGAAGATAGTCTCTTCGTCAAGCTCTGGCGCCACAAGCCTCTTAGAGCAAAAAGGTAATCTGGAGTCCCCATTCCTCCCACATCTTTTCATACTAGTTCCTGAGTGATGTACCTATCATTCCTAGTTGATTCCAACCTTCTAAAGTACATCTAAACATCATGAAATCATTCATAAACATGATATTATGATCCTTGAATCCATAATCCAATTTAAGAGAAGTTAAGATTTAAGTCTAAAAGTTAAGAAGCAAGTCAAAGTAAGTCCCTAAAGCATTCAAGAGTATTAACAAACATATTTACTTTGTTTAAAGGAACAAGAAATAAGTTGAGAAAAGAGTAAAGAGTTGAGTTAAATTCTCAAAAGATACAAGGGAACTAAGTATTCCTGAAGATTTAAGTTTCAAGTAACACAAAGATTAACAAGTTGAGTTCACTTCTCAATAGAAATAAAGGAAATAACTAGTAACTAAGAGTTTAAACAAAATGTTTTCAAACTTTTGAGAAAGAGAGGAAGCTAGAATTCTATGGAACCTATGACTAGTTTTAGTAAATCAAGAAGGTAACTATCATTTTCAAGAAAACTTTTGAAGCTATGTTTGAGAAAATTATCTAAAACTACAGAAGAAGTTGTTTTAAAATCATATGAGTTAAGTATTTTGGGAGTGCTATTGAGCACCGTTATTGTGACGCGAGTTAATATTATCTCAAGTCTCAAAAACCATGTAGACAACAAGGTCAGATAAATCATCATACTTTTTAAATGATTTCTTAATCCTTTTTAGCATAGACTAGTGGATCCACTTAGTGGTTCAAATTATATACTGACGGCAAGGTATATACAATCCTCTTGTAACATGAGGTAATACGTTGTACCATCACTTATAGTAATTGTGATGGTTGTCGGTTAGAGAATCCCCAAAGGTAAAGTTGAGTTTAATATTGTTTATCTTCAATGAACTACGTGGTTACACTATTTTTTAAGTTTTCCTCATATTGCATATGTCATGCTTTATATTGCGTTATGAGTTCTTGAGTGAGCAGAGCCAAGGTAAGTTCATTCTTACTCCTTTCAAGACTTATAATTGTGTTTAGAATTCCAATTTGCATACTTATACATTCAGTGTACTGATGTCACTTTTCCTACATCGTCTTATGATGCAGATGTAGGTAACCAGGATCAGCACGCAATGCGTTGTTGATCCATATTGAGCTCTAGAGTCAGTGGTGAACCTTCTTCCATTCCAGAGGATCTTTTTATTGCTTTCTAGTTAGTTTAACAGAATGTTGTGGGGGTTTTCCCAACATTCATCTCAGTCAGTTTAGAGGCTTTGTAAACATATAGTAATTTAGATTGTTCAGTTCTATTTCTCTTTTATATTACATTTCAGATGCTCTAACTTTGAGACACAAGTGAAATTTTGGATAGATTATTACATTTAGAGTATTTTCCCTTTAAAATGTTCTTCACTGTTATATTAAGATAAGCCTTGCCAAGGGTTTCATTCAAGGCTAATGATGGACCGAGTGCCAGTCTTCCTAAGGGTATAGGCTCCAGGCATGAAAAAATTGGTATCAAAGTTTGGTTTCAAAATTCCTAGGGATATATGATGTTGTTTCAGTAGAGTGTTAGTCATCGATTTCAAGCACACTACTTATAAGATTACGAGGCTACAACATTTAAGAATGTCTTAGTTTTGTCATATTGTTTTAGTGCATTATATTTTATCCCTATAAGAATCTCTCTAACTCATCCTTGCACGTATTTCAGTGATTTAGAATGCCTACAAGAAGAACAACGAGAGGTCCTCCCGCTAGAAGAATTATTGAGGAACAAGAGTTACCCAATGCACCTGATGTGCAACAGTAAGGAAAAGTCACAAATGCTGAGCTACGTGAAGATATCCAGATGTGGAGTTAAGTTGTGACCAACCAAGTTGGGAAACAAAGAGGAAATCAATAAGAAGAGGCTGAAACATCAAGATTTTGGATTTTTTAAGGATGATTTCCCCAAGCTCTACTGGTTTGAACACTACTCAGGATCCGAAAAAATAGTGTAGAAGAGTTGAAGAAGGTGTTTGATGTGATGCATGTGGTTGGTGCTCAGAGAGATGAGTTAAATGCATATCAACTAAAGAGTATGGCTAGAACCTGGTTTCCTCAATGGAAGGAAGGTAGAGTTCAGGATGCACCACATCCAAATTGGGCTTTCTTTGAAGAAGTCTTCTTAGGTGTTTTTTTCCCTGAGAAATGAAGGAAGAAAAGGTGCGAGAGTTCCTTACCCTGAAACAGGACTCCCTGAGTGTACATGAGTATGGGTTGAATTTCACCCAATTGTCTCGCTATGCTTTAAATATGGTTAAGGATTATGATGAGCAAAATGAGTTTGTTTGTCGCTGGTGTAGGTCGTTCTTAAAGAAAAGAAGGTAGGACTGCAATTTTGATTAGCGACATACATATTTTCAATGCTAATGGTCTATGTGCAACAAGTTGAAGAGAAAAATTTTAGGGACATAGAAGAGTATAAAAACAAGAAGTCCAAGACTGGGAATGAGTCTGGACAATAAAATGGTTCTTCAAGTCGACCATAATTTCCTTATTAAAAGGGCATGCACCATCATCTACTAGTGCACCTATGACAAAAAGCAGAGGTGAGTATAAAGTTTAGAATTCACAAAACTACAAGTCTAGACCAGCCCAATCCCAAGGTAGTGTGGTACAAGGTGGTAGTTAGGATCCTACTTGTGGTAGTTGTGGTAGAAACCATGCCGGTAAGTATAATCAAGGATCATTAGTTGCTCCACAAGACAGGGATATACCTAGAGAAGCCACTTCTAGTATTGATAAAGGGGAAAATCGTCTCTATGAAATCACAAGACGCAATAGCTAGAGAACTCTCCCGATGTTGTCACGGGAATGATCAAAATCTTTACTTTAGATGTTTATGCTTTGTTAGACCCAGGAGCAAGTTTATCTTTTGTAACTCCTTATGTTAAAACAATTTGAGATTCTTCCGGAAAAACATTGTGAACCCTATGAGTTTCTACACCTGTTGGAGAGTCTATTCTAGCGGAAAGAGTCTATCATGATTGTCCGACATCCATCAATCACAAGAACACCATGTCTTATCTAGTAAAACAAGACATGTTAGATTTGATGTCATTTTGGGAATCCACTGGCTTAATGCCTGTTATGCGTTAATAGATTGTAGGACTCGAGTTTTCAATGTTCAGATTTTGAATAAGCCATTCATAGAGTGGAATAGTACCTCAGCAGTTCCTAAGGGTCTAAAAGGGTGTATCTAGCACTTAGTCCGAGTTAATGACTCAAGTGTTGAGATACCTTCCCTTAAGTAAGTCACTATAGTTAGTGAATTTCCAGAAATCTTTCCTGATGATCTACCCAAAGTCCCTCTAGAAAGATAAATAGAATTCGGCATAGACATCATCCCATATACTCTTCCTATCTCTATTCCTCCATAGAGAATGGCACCAGCAGGGTTAAAAGAGCTAAAAGAACAACTAAGAGATTTGTTAGATAAATATTTTATTCGACCAAGTGTCTCACCTTGGGGCGCTCTAGTATTATATGTTAGAAATAAAGATGGTTCTCTTAGGATGTGTATAGCTTACTATCAGTTAGATAGGGTGATCATACACAATAAGTGTCCTCTACTAAAAATAGATGATCTTTTTGACCAGTTTCGCACATGTTTCTTGCTTCTCGAAAATTGATCTGAGATCAGGATACCATCAGTTGAAAGTTAGTGATAGTGATATTCTAAAGACAACTTTTAGAACTAGGTGTGAGCATCATTAGTTTTAGGTTATGTACTTTGGGTTGACAAATGCTTATGCAACATTCATGGATCTGAAGAATAGAGTCTTTAAACATTATTTAGATTTGTTTGTCATCGTCTCTATCGATAACATACGGATGTATTCAAGGAATGAAGACGATCATGCAAGTGATCTCATAATTGTTGTGCACAACTTGAAAGAGAAGAAATTATATGTGAAGTTCTCCAAGTGTGACTTTTGGATTATGTTTGTGGCATTCTAAGGCCACATTTTTCTTGTGAAGGAATTTGAGTTGAAACTCAGAAGATAGAAACAGTTCAGAGTTAGCCAAGACTTACATCTCCAACTTATATAAAGAGTTTCTTGGGTTTGGCAATGTATTATAGAAGATTTGATTAAGGGTTTTTATGTATCTCGTCTCATTCGACCAAGTTAACTTAGAAGACAATCATGTTTCAACGGTCTGAAGCTTGTGAGAAAATTTTTCAGGAGTTTAAAAAGAGATTGACTACCCCATCTGGTTTTGATCGTACCAGAGTGTACTCAAGGTTTTGTTTTTATGATGCATCCAGAGTTGGGTTGGGCTACATGTTTAGCAGAATGGAATTGTTATAGCTTATGCCTCCAAAAAGTTGAAGACTTATGAGAAGAATTGTCCAACTTATGACTTAGAATCGGCTGTTGTAGTTTTTTTGTTTAAGACATGGTGTCACTACTTATATGACATTCACATTAGAATATTCACTGATCACAAGAGCCTCTAATAACTATTCACTCAAAAAAAGATAAATCTCAAATAGAGAAGGTAGTTATAATTGCTCAAAAATTATAGTATGAGTATTATTCACCACCCGTGTAAGGCTAACATACTTGTTGATGCCATAAGCAGATTATCCATGAGGGCTACCGCCCATGTCAAAGAAGAAAATAAGGAGTTGGATAAAGACATACACATACTTACACATTTGGGAGATGGACTTATGTATTCCATAGAAGGAGGGATAATGGTTACTAATGAATCTAAATCATCACTTGTATCTAAGGTGAAAGAAAATGAAGACCAGAACCCGATTTTGCCTGAAATGAAGGCAAATGTTCATAATGAAAGAATATTGGCTTTTGAACAAAGGGGAGATAGTGTGTTGAAGTACTAAGGTAGATTATGTATTCCTAGTATTGATGGACTCCAAGAGAGGATTTTGGAGGAGGGTCATAGGTCCAGATATTCCATACATCCGGGTTCCGTAGGATGTACTGCGACTTCAAAGATGTATATTAGTGGGAAGGCATGAAGAATGATATTGTTTAGTTTGTTGCAAAATCTTCATATTGTCAGCAAGTGAAAGTAGAGTACCAAAGGACAGGAGGTGTGTCTTAATCTGTAGAACTTCCATAATGGAAGTCGAAGATGATTTACATGGACTTTATTCCATGTTTTATAAGATCTCGCGGGCAACATGATTCTATTTGGGTGATTGTCGATAGAATGACAAAGTCACCCCATTTCTTGCCAGTAAAGGCTACCTATTCTACAACAGATAATGCTAACTTGTACCTTCAAGAAGTGGTAAGACTTCATGTAGTTCCAGTCTCCATTATTTCATATAGAGGTGCACTATTTATTGCACAGCTCTTGAATTTTTTCAAGAATGGTTTGGTTCAAAGGTGAACAAAATCATTGCATTTCATCCTCAAACAGGTGGACAAACAGAGCATACTATCCAGACCTAAGAATATATATTGATAGCTTGTGTGATAGACTTTAAAGGGAATTGGGATGATAACATACCTCTCATTGACTTTGCTTACAACCGCAGCTACTATTCGAGCATCCAAATGGCTACATATGAAGCTCTTTATGGGTGAAGATGCATATCTCCAATTGGATGGTTTGAACTTTGTGAAATAGGGTTGATAGGACCAGATCTAGTTCACCAAGCTATGGAGAATCTGAAAGTGAGTAAAGAGACATTGAAAATGGCATAGAATCACCAAAGGTCCAGCACAAATGTTCGGAGAAGGCCATTCGACTTTGAGGTGAATGATTGGGTGTATCTGAAAGATTCATCAATGATAGGTGTTATAAGGTATGGTAAGAACGAGAAACTTAGTCCCCGATATATCAACCGAAGTAAAGTACACTTAGAGTACTAAATGTATTCGTAGTAGAAGAAGCCCATAAATTCTATAAACTCAAATGAGAGGAAATTCATCAATTAATAGAAAACAATGGGTAGCGTGAAAAGATTCTCATTAGGCGTTACTAGAAAGGTCACAAACCTTTAGAATAGTCACAATCTTTAGGAAAGATTACAACCTTTCATAAAAGTCTCAACATTTCATAAAAGTTGCAGCTTTTCATAAAATTTGCAACAATAATTGAAGTTTTACTCTCAAAGAAACATAAATCATTTTCATCAATTCCCCTAAGAGCCTGCATATCTTCTTGAATTCATCTTTCATAGTTCAAAACCCACATTTGATCATCATAGTCAAGAATGATTTCATGGTAATTCAACATTAAAATGTGAAATTTATTCAAATCATGAATAGGAAAGCATATAAAAAATAAACTAGGTCAATATTGGAAGGAACCCGCAATAATTGAAGGAA